AATTTTCCCATAAGGTTCAATGTAATTACCGTTAATCCGTTCTGGCATCCGCAGACCACGCATCAGGGGCGGGAAAACGGCCGGGTGTGGCGCGAAAACGGCTGGGCACGGCGCGGTGCGAAAACGGCCGGGTGCGGTGTGGCGCAAAAACGGTTGGGTGCGGCGTGGCGTGAAAACGGCCGGGTGCTGCGTGGGGCAGCGGAAAAATGGCCACGGACCACGTGTCGGGCAGAAAAATGGCCGTACCCCGAGGCGGAGTTCACACATCGAGGTAAATTTTTGCAGCCGGAGCTGGTCGTAACCCGAAAAGTTCGTTAGTAGAGGCGTTAGTATCCCGAGGTACCACTGTACTTCAAAAGAGCGGACCACGTGTCGGGCAGAAAAATGGCCGTACCCCGAGGCGGAGTTCACACATCGAGGTAAATTTTTGCAGCCGGAGCTGGTCGTAACCCGAAAAGTTCGTTAGTAGAGGCGTTAGTATCCCGAGGTACCACTGTACTTCAAAAGAGGAATCTTGCAAGTGAGAGCAACATCTAAGTCACTTTGGTTACATATTCTGTGCCGTAATAAATGCTACCTGCTCTTTTTCCCTGACCATATTTACCCTAGAAGTACTTTTTTTAAAATGAATCTTGGCTGAGAGATTATGTTCCCATCATAATCTATCTTCATAGGCTTTTAAAAAAGAGTTTTTTGCCATCATGGAAAAAAAAATCTGATTCTATGCATTGTCTCTGATGAGGCCCACAGTATGGCAGAATGTTTGAGAGAGGCTTTGGCTATGACAGAAACCAAGCATTTTATCTGGTTCTGCTTCTATGTGGAAGCTAAACAGTGATGAATAGACATCCTGCTGTCTATCAGCCTACATAAGTCTGGACATTGCAGGAAGGAATGACGAGTGTACATTTTATTATATGAAAAAGTTATAAAATGTAGTTCACTATTCAGAGGCAAAGAAGGGAAAGAAAATGAGACTTAAGATAGATTTGGAAGTGACGTGCCAAACCCCACTTTATTGCAAGGACAAAGGAGCACAGGGTCATGACCAAATCCTATACAGGTAGTCCCTGGGTTAAGAACACCTGGTTTACAGACAACCCATAGTTAAGAACAGAAACTATTGTAGCAAAATTTGAGTTAAATACACAATGATTTGAGTTAAATACACAATGGTTCGAGTTAATTATACAATACTACTTATACAGTATTATACAATAATATTTTTCTGGCTTACATACAAATTTGACTTAAGGACAGACCTCGGGAACAGCACTTGTTCTTAAATTGGGGACTACCGGTACCTTGTATTCAGAATGTCAAGGTTCTGTCTCTTGACATCTTTACATAAAGGATTCATGGGAAACAGGTATGGGAAAAGCAAAGGCAAAGTAGATCAGGAGGACAAGCAAACTAGGGCCTTCTTGGACTGCAGATCCCATGATCTCTTGGCATTGACAGTGCTGGCTAGGGTTCATAGGAACTGAAAATCAAAATAATTAGCCATTAGGTTGCTTACCCTAAATGAGACAACACTGGACTTGGTGGACAGTCAGCATCATCATCAATTTTAATATAGTCATTCAACCAAAGCATAGAAATTACAGGCTGGTGGACTCATGCGTTTGTATACCTGTCATGTGTTTTTCATATATATAACGCATATAGCACATGAGTCCACCATTCAGTTATAGGTTGACAGTAAGAAATATAAAATAACTTAAAATCTTTCTGTCCTACTAAATTTATCCTTGCCAATTACAGTGAACCTTCCACTGTAAATTAAACAAGTTACTTAATAGATGAATGTATTTCCCAGGAGCTGGCTAAATATTCTCTTACAGAATTGGCTGCCACACAAAATTTAGCCATTGCGTAAGAAACTTTGCCAACCCCTCAGAAAGTACATAAACATTTAGCTTATTCCTAAATTTTTTCTTTTTTTTTTCTTTTCTTTTTTTGGTGCCTTCAAAAAGAAGTTGACTCCTGGCGACTGCCTGGACAAGTCCCTGGAGTTTTCTTGGCAAGATTTTGGAAGTGGTTTGCCATTGCCTCCTTCTGAGGGCTGAGAGAAAGTGACTGGCCCAAGGTCACCCAGCTGGCTTTGTGCCTAACATGGGACTAGAACTCACAGTGTCCAGGTTTCTAGCCTGATTCCTTAACTGCTACACCAAACTGGCTCTCTATAAATAGTTCATATTCCACTATAAAAGGAGCAATACAGCAATATATGTTCTATTGATTCAGTTTCTCAGACAATGGTCCTTGAGAGGAACACTAGGGAGTGTCAGCAGAATCCAAGAGATGCATCAAAGCATAAAGTTAGTCTATCTGTTCCAAACATTGTAAAAGCTTACCATTGTTTTACATTCAGAATCTTCAATCTTGCTTGGCTTAGTCAGATTTCTCAATCCTCACCTGCGTCTCGACAATACTTTTTGATCTACCTTGAGCAGGTACTTTATTGTACTTTTGGCTCTTGATGAGACCAGTCTTTTTCCAGGTGACATGTAGGGACCGATTTGTGTACTCTCCATCTAGCCACCCAGCTATTTCTTCCTTTCACTCTCTGCAAGTTTCCCAGATAAAACAGAAAAACAGACCAGCCGCATTATGACTTAACTTGATGTACAACTTAGAGTCAGCTTCCAAATCATCCTTGATCATCAGGTGTAACAACAAGCCAGTGTGGCATTGTATTTCAAGTGTCAGCTAAGATAGTGGAGTCCAGCCTCAGCCATGGAAGCTCACTGAGTGACACTGGGGCAGCCATCCTCTCTCAAATCAACCCATGGGGTTATTGCTGTGGGAAAGATGGAATGGGGAGTGCTGTGTCAGCCATCTTGAGCTCCTGGAGGAAAGACAGGGTATAAATCTAACAAATAAATAAGCAAGTATTGCTTATTTTTCAAAAGCTAAAGAAAAACAGGACACATGCATGACACAAGCCACAATGGCACATCCTAATCATATCAATTATCATAATTTTTGTTAGAGGGAAGTTCAGTGCTGATCAGAAAGGTCTCTCTCATTTTCTAGCCAATGAACTCTGTTTGTTTGTGTCAGGAGTCAGCTATCCATATCCTGTATGAAACTGGACATTTATTTAAACTGATATCAGAGAGGCTGAAATGTTTATTTTTATTTATGGTGGAAATGTTGGAAATGTGACAGTTGGGGCCCAAAATCTGTTCCACGGTTCTTTTATTTTTTTAGTCATTTGCTTTGCTATTAATGTTTAGAGCAAGACAGTACTTTATATAAATGCTTGTGTTAATTTGGTATCACAGTCATGCATCATCACCATCAGACCTGAGCACAAAGTACACTGTGTATTCTGTTATTTTCCATTAGTGCTACTGTCTGATTTCACTTTGAGTGTTGCATTAGTTTATGGATATTAGACCCCCATTCCAAGAAAGCATTTTCCCATTTCAGAGCAAGAAGAATGGATCTCCAACCCCAAACTGAATTGTTTCATTTAAACAAATCTAAAAAAGGGAGGGGGTACTGAATGAGAAGATAACAAAGCCATGCTTCTCATGGTTCTTCAGGAAGATTAGCCAGATGTTTCAAAGGATGGAATTGCTTCTGAGAAAAATATCAAACAATAGATATCAAAAATATCTTGAGATTCCACCAGAACCAATTCCCTCCTAATTATATACCAGATTTCATCTACTTTAGTTTCAGAGTGTCTAATGTGAAGTACGGAATTGTTGTAGCTGTAATTTAGCATAATGTTTTTCAAATGAATTTATAATCATTTCTACATTCCTCACAGTGCACATAAACATCTCAGCTATATCTATGAATATGAACAGAACTATCATACTTTGATGGATTGTACTAAGTTATTTTTTATCTATCTATCTGTCTGTCTGTCTGTCTGTCTGTCTATCTATCTATCTATCTATCTATCTATCTATCTATCTATCTATCTATCTATCTATCTATCTATCAACTATCTCAGGCTGATTGGTGTGTGTGTGTATGTTTATGTATATGTATATGTTATGTATATATAAATAAAAGTCAGCCTGCAAATTTGCCAAATTCTAGCTGGTCCATATGCTAATGCACCCCCCCTCCCCCCATTTTCAATCTGATCTTACCCTGGGCAATAACTTACTTAGCTCTTCAACAGCTTTGATTTGACCAGATAAACTCTAAAAAAAGGAATTAAGATGTAGCATAAATGAGTAACAATAACCAACTTATTTTTAAGACATTTTGTGGAGAAAATTACTAATATAACATTTCTGCTGCGTTAAGGTATCACTCCATATAAAACTCAATTTCTGAAATACTTTGGGATAAAGGTGATCATTGTCTATACAATAATTATCATAACTCCTTATATTATAAGGCTGTACTGACTGCTCAGGAAAGCATGTTCATCATAACTCGTTTCTTCCTATTTTGAATGGTTGGAAAAGTTGGTGTGCTGCAGTCTAGCTGCCTGATAACAATGCCGGCAGATCCACAGAGACATAGCATTTACATGCATATGTTGGACTTTTGTTATGGAGTTGTCAAACAAGCAGGCTGCTTAAAGATTCAGCATTTGTTCTGAACTCAGTCCTCGTGGTATAGATCAGAAAAGCACTGCTTTGTTTATTTCATATCATAATAGTTGTTTCTGTGTGTCAACAAAATGTACATTAAAAAAATCAAATTTAACATTTTAATATTTCCTAATTGCTCCATTTTTTTTTTCCTACAAGTATCCTGACTAGCTATGAGGATTCCCAAATATTCCTTGATGGGACCTTTCAGAGGACATATGAGTATTAAAAGTAGCCGTAAGTATTTAAACATTTTCAGCAAAGGAAGTATTATGTATTCCAGTCTAACTGTGATGGAAGGCATGAGTGGGGAGGATTCTGGGGGGAGGATTCTGGAAGGGAGCTTCAAGGTTACAGGGAGGAGGAGTGACATTCCAAGCATCTCCTCAGCCCCCAGCTGGACTGTGTGAAAGTAAGGAGGAAGAGACTGGCCCCTCCCTAAGGGGTTGATGGTTAGAGTTGCTCTCAGTGGGGAATTAGAGTTAGTCTGGCGAGATTTTGTCTATTAGGTGCAAGCTAATAAAGAAGCTGAGTTGATTTACGGACTTTCTCGTTGATTTCTCAGACTTTCTTGGGCTGAACCTGACACTAATGTTCTCAATCATGTAAATTGTCTTCAGAAGTGACAAAAATACTACTTTTTACTTTATGTGTGTATGCTGTCCTTCAAATGAAAGTAGCTAAAAATTCAAATATATAAACATGGTACCATTTGATTAACATATTGAGATACTTAGGGTGACTCAGAATAAATAGATTGTTAGCAAGAAGATTTTTTTTTTAAATGCCAATGGTTTTCATTCAATAAACTTTAAAACAATTTCAAATCATTGCTTTAAAAATCTAGGATATGGTTGGTAACTCTTTTAGCCTTTCAAGATAATTATTTCATCCATATTTGAAAGCCAGGTGACTAATGATAGTAAACAGGAATGGAGAGTTTGGGGAAGTCTGAAAACTAAGTTTGGACTAAAATACTTGCAAAGCATGGCTGGTGTGGGTCTTCCGGGCTGTGTGGCCATGTTCTGGTAGTTTT